CTCTTTCTTAGCTAGTGGTTCTTGGGAATAAATTGTCAGGATGAAACTTCTTTCTTACAAATGAAATAAGAAGCGAATAGTGATAATTCGTTCTAGTATAGCTCGTCATAACATTTGACATGGAACTAGCGATAGAGGATAGCGAAAGACTTCAATTTTTCTCTCCAGAATCTATCTTACATATCTATAAGTCTAGCATTCGTCCATGCTTAGAATATTGCTGTCGTATATGCTCCGGTGTCTCTGCTATATACTTAGATGTATATAAATAAATAACAAATAACAAATATTGAAGTATATAGCAAATGACACAATAAATCCAAATACATACAAAAAATGCTTCCATACATGTATACACACATATATACACATGTATACACACATCACTTCAGTACATAGATCTGCATATTTCTCCCTTCCCTTTCTACAATGTTAGATCTGCACATTTAACAATTTTTATTTTTAAGCCTGGAAAAATCTTTTCTATTTATGTAACGAGGTCTGAAGAGTTGGGGTCGAATTTTCCGACCTTAACGAAATAAATATCACGTCATGGCCATTTAAGAGTTCGTTTTCTTTATAGTAATAATTATTATTGCTCTGTTTTTGACATAGAGCTCTCCCTGGATCCACATTCTTTTGGAAATATCCATACCAATTACTAATATTTTCATCTCACACACACACACACACACACACACACACACACACACACACACACACACACACACACATATATATATTCGTGCTATCACAGCGTCATAGGGTTTGAGCAGACTGTTCAAACTGTTGATCACACCAGACCCTACGCCCTTACTGAGTGCCCCATCTTTCCAACCTATTGCCACATCTAAGCTACGCTTAATAAATCACTATATTGTCGGCGATGGAAAATAGTGTCAGGATTAGCAAGCTTGTCACGCTAGATCAATTACTACTAACTAGTGAGGGAAATCCTCACTAGGTGCTCCGTATTTTCAGCCTTGTGCCACATCAAAGCATCAATTTGTAAATCACTCTTGCATTAACACACTCTATCTCTCCCTCACTTTGAGCCATGTTCATATCGATGACCGAAAGCAAATCAGCTTAATTATTGGGAATCAATAGGAAATAATTCGCCCAGCAAATACGTGCAAAATAGAATTGTTCACCATTACCAAAGATCAGCAGAAAGAATTGAGGCGAGAAAGAATTGAGGCGAAGAAATTTAACGTACCTCTGTTGTCCTGGTAAGTTACCGTAAATCACCAATCGATGGCGAGAAAAGATTTACGGACTCGTCGAGACAATGTTGACTGCTTTCACGAGTTCTTTTTTCGGACATTCAGATTCTTGGCATTCATTGGCCTCCGACAAGACGGAGACACATTTGTCTTTCGGTTTATTTTTATCTATCTATCTATCTATCTATCTATCTATCTATCTATCTATCTATCTCATTCTGTTCATATCTTTTTTCTTTTCATTCTTTCTTTCTTTCTCAGTTTGTTCCTATCTATCTATCTATCTATCTATCTATCTATCTATCTATCTATCTATCTGATTCTGTTCATCTCTATCTATCTATCTATCTATCTCAGTTTGTTCCTATCTATCTATCTATCTATCTATCTGGACCATATGTCTTTGAGGAGAACTCAATTAAATGAGAATAACTGAGACATCAAGAAGAGGCATGGCACGTGGAACTAGAACAATCTACTCCGGTGGGAAAGATAAAGCGTTCAGTTCGAAATTCCAATCACCTGAAGAAGGCCGTAGCGTACAACGGCTGAAATATTGTGAATATGGCAATAAAGATGAGGATAACTGCCCGAATAATGTAAATAATGCAAGTAGTCTAAGGAGAAGTAGTAACTTTACAGCACTGAATATTTATTGGAGATAAGTTACCTTTCATTGTCTTGAAGCAAACAATACAGATTTATCCGGTAGGACACTTGATATGATCGGCATAAGAACCAGAGGAGCATATTTCCTTGGATCAAATACAGGATGCCGGCCGACATTCCCCAAGTAGGAAAACACATTCGATAGTTATAGGAACAAGACGAACATATATCCTTGGTTCAAATAAATGATGCAGTTCCATATTTCCCAACTAGGAAAGTAGACGTGATAGATATAAGAATCAGAATAATATATTTCCTTGGATCAAATAAAGGATGCCGGACGATTTCCCCAAGTGCAAAAAAAACAACAAAAAAAAAACACTCGATATGTAAATGAGACGAGGATATTTCCTTGGATAAAAAAAAAAATGCCGGCCAACATTCTTGGATAAAAATGAACGATACCGGTCGACATCTCCCAAAATTGAAAACAGACATGATAGGTTACAGCAAAAAGACGACAATAATTCCTTGGATTAAAAAAGAGGATTTTGGCTGACATTCCCCAAATTTGAAAACGCACATGATAAGCATGAGAAATGAGACCAGCAAAATACCTTGTATGATATTATGATGTCTGTCTCCATTCACCAAATAAGAAAACAGACAAGAGAGATATAGGAATGGACAAGTATATTTCTTTAGATTATATAAACAATGCCGGACGACATTGCATACGTAATAGGTATAGAAATAAGACGAGTATATTTCCTTGGATGAAATTAAGGGCGCCGGCCGAGATTCACCAAGTTTGAAAACACACTCGATAGGTACAGGAGTGTGACGAGCATATTAACTTGGATTAAATTCGTACTGGTTGAATTCCCCATTTCGGAAGAACAGACATGATTGTTTAAATATAAGACGAACATATTACCTTGAATCAAAAAATAATGCCAGTGGACATTCCCAAATTTTGAAAACATACATGATTGATATAAGAATGACATATTACCTTGAGCCCAATAAATGATGCCAGTCGACATTCCCAAATTATTAGATCGCATGAGAAATTGTATAAAAAACTAAATAAAAGCACCTTGTCTTTCGTTTTCAATGAAATGTGCATATATATATATATATATATATATATATATATATATATATATAAAAAAATCTATGTATACATATATATATTACAATGATTCATTCATACAAAAAGTAGAATAGTCAACTTAATGATATAAAATGGCGAAATCCTTTCGCAAACAAAATTTTAAATTTGCATTAGCCGAAAAAAAAATCTGAAATTCCATAGTAGTAAAAACGCACTCTCTTAAATTTTCAAAATTTCAACCTTAGCGTTGCGACTGCACGCGCCAACATTTTTATCCGTTAACAATAATACATTTCTAAAAAATCATATTTCGATTCCATTTATTTTTTATATATATATTTATATGTACACGAAAAAAAAAATATATATATACACACACACACACACATATATATATATATATATATATATATATATATATATATATATATATATATATAAAATACGAAAATCTCATCCATTGTTGATAGGTTCCAAGACAAAGCGTGAACACTGAAGTACATTGGATGATAAGTGCGTGAGTGCATCTCCCCCACCCCCACTAAGTAATATATTTGGTAAACCAACTGTAAAGATGAAATGAATTGGTTGGTTGAAAGGATATTACATATAAAAGAAGATGAAGATAAATTTGAGCAGTTTCCCAAAGCCGTGATTAGTCCTGTCCAGCCAATTGTTGGAAGATACGACACTGGTTCGATAGGTAAAGGCGTGGCCCAGTTTGACCGAAAGGCGCCACATGCCTTTGGTGGTGGAATAGGCTGGTGAAGAATTATATTCTTTTTAAGTCTGACCTCCAAATCGAAGATGATTATGCGTTTGGCTAAACAGCGTATTATATGGAGATAAAATATTGAGATAGATAGATATATAGATTGATAGATAGATAGATAGACAGATATAAACAGAATGTGATAGATATGAATAGACTGAGACAGATAAACATGAACAGAGTGAGATAGATAGATAGATAGATAGATAGATAGATATCTGTCTACATTTCTGAGATGAGGTATTATGTACACTATTTTCATTATTCGAACTATTGTCCTCATCTTTGTCGCCATATTTATTACAACGTTTCGGCCGTTGTACGCTCCGGCCTTCTTCAGGTGGTTGGAATTTCTAACTGAACCCTTTATTTCGCTTACTGGGGTACGCTGTTCTAGTTCCACGTGCCATGTCTAATGGATATCAGTTATCAGTTATCTCCTGCTTAATTCCCCTCTCCAAGTTCTCCACCGACTTAACTGGGTATTGAACGCACGCTCTTTGGGTCATGTCACACATGGCACAGTGGATAAAGGCATTGGTTAGATCCAGTGACAGGACCCAAAAGAGTTGTGAGTTCAATACCCGGTTAAGGCAGTGGAGAACTTGGAAAGGAGATAACTGATAAGTGACATCCATTAAAACATGACACATGGAACTAGAACAGTCTACCCCAGTAATTGAAATAAAGGGTTCAGTTCAACATTCCAATTATCTGGAGAAGGCCGGAGCATACAACGGCCGAAACGTTGTAATAAATATGCTGACAAAGATGAAGAGAATAGTCCGAATAATGTAAATAGTAGATAGATAGATAGATAGATAGATAGATAGATAGATAGATATTAACAGAATGAGATAGATAGAAAGAAAGAAATGAATAGACTGAGATAGATATGAACAGTGATAGATGGATAGATAGATAGATATTAACAGAATGAGATAGATAGATAGATAGATAGATAGATAGATAGATAGACATGAACAGAGATTTGATAAATATATGAACAGAGGAGATAGATAAACATAGATAGATAGATAGATAGATAGATAGATAGATAGATAGATAGATAGATAGATAGATAGATTCATTCGCACACCTGTTATTTTATGCTGTGTTCCATGCTCCGTATTTCTCTGCTGACGATCGAAAATTGATCCGATTTTACTTGGCTGTCAGCAGAGAAGGCGAACACCGGTCGCTGTGATGTACACCGGATACTAACGAATCTTGGTAAAAAAATCAATCATCTTGTTTATTGGCAGTAATATTCGGAATGGCACCAGTGGAAAATTCAAGTCGCCATCGGATGAAATGGACTCCAGTATGTGTTCGTTGTAGAAGTCAGGGGTGATAGCATCTTCATATTTATACTGGAAACAGAGGCCAACAACTTGCAGAGAGAGCCTCTAGGTAGATATACGGGGGAAGTCTCGTTGACCATCGCTACTGTTTTTAGTGAGTTCGATCCCCACTGGCAGGTCTGTATATTTTTGGCCTTGCGCCAAACTAAATGTAATGTTAGTAAATTAGAACAACAATTTACAATGTTACGTTTTTCATTTCTTCTTTTTTTTTCCTATTTTTTTTTTTTCTTCTCAGATTTCTTGCAGGAGAATTTCGTTTTTGTTTCTTCTATAATTTTTATTCATTTTTCGATAAAGAAATTTGAATTTTTCTTTCTTTTCTCTAAATATTTTTCCATTTTGGCTGAATATATATATATTTGCCTTTTTTACTTTCTTCTTTTCAATTTTTTTTTTATTGTTTCTTTGTTCGTTAAAGAAATTTGAATCTTTGTTCTCTCTTCTCAAATAAGTTTTCTCTTTATTAAAAAAATATTTGTCTTTCTCGTTTCTTTGCTTCTTTTTCAAACTGACTTTTTTAGTTACTGTCTCCTTTTTATACATTCCTTTCTTTTCTTTTTAATTATATTACAGTTTCTTTCTTTCTTTCTCAATTTCTTTTTCAATTCTATAATTTACCCCCTCTTACTTCCTTTCTTCTTCCCTTCTCTTTTTTCTTTCTCTCTTTATCTGTTTTCTTTTTCTTTTTTAATTCTATAATTTATCTTTTCTTACTTCATTTCCTCTTTTTTTCTCTTTCTTTCTCTCTGTCTTTCTTTTTTCTTTTCTTTTTCAATTCTATAATTTACCTTCTCTAACGTCTTTCCTCTTTCCTTTTCATTCTCCGCCTTTTCTTTCTTTCTTTCTTTCTTTTTCTTTCTTTCTTTCTTTTTCTTTCTTTAATATGATCGATTATTTTCAATTCATAAATTCTTCTTTTCGTTCTTTCTTTCCCTTTCGTTTCCTTTTCTTCCTTTTTGTTTTTAAATAGTTGCTCTTTGTTCAGATTAATTTCTTTCTTTTCTTTAATCCCTTTTCCTTCTTTTTTTTATCTGCCTTACTTTTCTTTATTTTCTTACTTTTTTTCTTTTATTAAATTTACCTTTCATTTTTCTTTTTCTTTCCGTTTTCTTTTTTTTTTCTTTCTTTCTTTCTTTCGTTCATAATTTTAATTTATTATTTTTGTTTCATAAATTCTTTTCGTTCTTTCTTTTATTTTGTCTCCTTTTTTGCATTTAAAAATAGTTTTTCTTTATCCAGATTAATTTCTTTTTTTTTCTTTTATCACATTCCTTCATTTTCTTTGTTTCTTTCCTTCATTTTTTCATAATTTTGATTTTCTATTTTCTTTCTTTCATTAAATTTCCATTTCGTTTTGTTTTCTTCCTTTTTCTTTACAAATAGTTTTTATTTCTTTGTTTGGTTACTTTTTCTTTCTTTCTTTCTTTCTTTTTAAATATTCCTTTCATTTAAATATTCTTTCTTTTTTTAAGACATATCACTTTTCTTTCTTTTTTTCTTTCTTTCTTTCTTTCTTTCATTTAAATATTCTTTCTTTTTAAGACATATCACTTTTCTTTCTTTTTTCTTTTTTTCTTTCTTTCTTTCTTTCTTTCTTTCTTTCTTTTTAAATATTCCTTTCATTTAAATATTCTTTCTTTTTTTAAGACATATCACTTTTCTTTCTTTTTTTTCTTTCTTTCTTTCTTTCTTTCTTTCTTTTTAAATATTCCTTTCATTTAAATATTCTTTCTTTTTTTTTTTGTGAATATCAATTTTCTTTCTTTTTTCTTTCTTTTTCCTTTCTTTCTTTCTTTTTAAATATTCCTTTCATTTAAATATTCTTTCTTTTTTTAAAACATATCACTTTTCTTTCTTTTTTCTTTCTTTCTTTCTTTCTTTCTTTTTAAATATACCTTTCATTTAAATATTCTTTCCTTTTTTAAAACATATCACTTTTCTTTCTTTTTTCTTTCTTTCTTTCTTTCTTTCTTTATCTCTTTATTTATTTCTTCACATCTTCCTTTCTTCATTTCTTTCCTACTTTTGTTTTATTTTTTTTTGTTTCATAAATCGTTCTATTCGTTTTTGTCTTTCCATTTCATTTTTTCTTCGTTTTTGTTTTCCTTCTTTTTTCTTTGTTTAATTTTTATTATTTTCTTTCTTTTCCAAATATTTCTTCCATTTAAGTATCCATGTCTTTTTTTCTTTATTCTTCCCCTGTATCTCCCTTTTATATACCTATCCCATAATCCACACTGAGAACATCACCCCATTCCCAGAATTGAAAGACTGAGTCACAGTCAATGACACGTTCGCCTCCTTCACTCATACCACCACCAGTCACCTTCCTCCCACTTCACCAGTTCTGCGTCACAACGGACAGAACTCATGAAGACCATAATGTAATGAAGAATAAATCTAATCGATTAAGACCGATCGCTATTGATCATCAGTTCCCTTCCTGTAGACCTCATTCCATTTTTAAGCCTAAAGTTCAGGTTAATGTCATATTTTTCCAGCGAAATCTATATAAGGGCGATTAATGGAATAAGGAGTCATTGACATTTGCAAGCGACATGAAACTGATGAAGAGGCGGGAAACAAACAGTGAAAGGTTCAGCTCTTCTCAGTAATTTTATTTTAGTTGGAGTTTATTAAAAACTGATAAAGGGAAAACTAATAATAATAATAATAATAATAAATAGTTTACTCCGAACCGGTCAGAAATTGTTTTTTTTTTTTTTTTTGCACAAAGGCTGCAGAAGGACTAGCAGCTCTGTGTTTTCTGTATCCGCGGCCTCTGCTTCATATTGGCTGTAGTCGATTCCACAAGTTATAATTTTTTTAAAGAGTCTCTGAGCCTTGCATTCCTGAAAAAAGTTAACCCATCTGCCTGAGCTCCTGAGTTAAAATTTGCAAATAATTTGTATGTAATGTTTCACGGTAGATATAAAAATAGTTACAAGTGTTTACTCACCACCGTTCAATTCTTCACTGTTACTGTTCAACCAATGACTGGGCATTACGTCATTTTTCTCTACTACCAGAAAAAATGGTGGTCACGGCTCAAAGGATTAATATTGAATCAAAAAGTCAATTAATTCCTTAGAAATCACTTTATTTATGTTTCGGATACGAAAATAAAAATTAATGTACAGATATAGGTTTCGTGAAGATTTGAACGAAGAGAGGAGATTCTTTATTTTTTTCCATGTGTCATGTCCTTTCAGGACGTAGGTGATCATGGCTCTCCACTCCTCCCTCTATTCCTTTCAGGTCTCAACAAAGTCCTTCCCTCTGCCACCTCCCTCAGACCACGTTCTGTCATCCACTTGCTTAAGTCCGCCAGGTATGTCACGCGTTGTTTTCTTTTGTTTCTCTTTCCATCTATTCGACCTGTGAGTATCAGATTCTCCAGGCCCTCCTTCCTCATTGCGTGTCTCAGGAAATTCAGCTGCCTCTTCCTGATGTTAAGTATAAGCCTCCTCATTGTTTGCATCCTAAGAGAGGATATACATTCTTCTTTTTCTTCTTCTTCTTCTTCTTAAAAATAATAATAATAATAATTGAACCTGTTTAGCTTGTGACTCTCTCAGTCAAAAACAAATTTTTGCAAACATGAATACACGTGCTCTCAATAAGATGCAGTGTCAAAAGGGCCCCGCTTCTTTTTTTAAACTATCTTCATTCTTCGGTAATATTCATTGTTTTCAAAAGCGATGATTAGAATTGCAATAAAACCTAAACATATGATGAAAATGAATTTATATATTTTTGTACTTGAGAATTTACAGTAAACATACTAAACACTATTTGTTAGTGTTTATTTACAAGAATAATTTTATATTTACATTCTAGAAATTAATACAATTAAAACTAATGCAATGCAATATTTATCATTTACCAATTTATAAAGAAAGAAATATGAAAAACAATTTTTAATCATAAATTTATAAGCATTTACTAAATTATTAAAATAGGTGAACCCACTATAAAAGAAATCCTTATTTACCATTTTATAAAGTTTGAATCAATTGGCAATTAGCCAATAGTTTGCCAACCATTCCAAGAAATAATATAATAAATATTGTTTATTATTTTTGTTAAATGTTTTTATTGTTTTTCCAATTCTCAAGAAATTCACTTTCATATGGTTTTATTAAAATTCTAATAATTGCTTTTAAAAACGACAAACATTGCCGAAGATTAAAGTTAATTAAGAAAGCAGTGTCATGGAAAAAAACGTGCTTTTGAAACTACATTTTATTGAGGACATGTTTATCCATGTTTACCAATTTTCTTTTTTTGCATAACAGTATGAATTACGTTTACCATTCTGTACATTCGTAAGACAATAAAAAGAAGGGGTTCTCCGGCAGGATTCGAATATACTTAATCCGTTTGTAAAGGAAACCACCGCCAGATCTATCGTGCTTGAACCTGCTCGGCTACAAAGCGCTCGGCTACACCGGGTCAGACAGTGGTTTTCCCTACAAAAGTGGGTGGGGGACACGGTTTCGTACCCTGCTGGAGAGTATATATTATATGAAATCTCTAGAATCCACGAGTCGATACAGCTAATTCACACTGTTAAAACAAAATAATATTAAGTAAATGTTAATATTAACGAGCTTCAAAGAAGGATGGTCCTCGTTAACACCTACAGACTTCATTAACTCGAAGCCATTTTTAATTATTGACCGGAGAAAGCTGTGGTATACAGTTGAGAGTTTAGATATGTTTGAACAAGTTTGGTGCCATGTATGACATCCATATGAAGGTCATGATCTGACAAGTCTATTTAAAAATGTGTCGAACATAAGAATAAGTTTTAAATGCTGATCGAGGCTTGACTCCGGAAGTTAATTGAGATGCCATTTTCCTAGCTTCTGAATTTTTTCTAAGTCTAGTCAATGACGGACTACAGCTGACTGATTTCACAAACAGCAAAGGGCTGAGTAAACTTCTAACATTTTTAAAATTTTCATTAAATGAGAATTTTTGCCTCGGCCTTATATATTTTAACGTTGAAAAAAATGGCGTTTTTTTATAGTGAAGTTCACCCTGTACAAGGTCCGAGAGCCACTTGAGGTAGATTGTTACAGAGTAAAAAGCACAGTTTATGCGGAGAAGATAACGGAAATCCCTCGACTCGAACAGGTCAAGCTTGTAGCGACCGAGAAAACATCCTTTTTGGAGTCGGTTCCACAGAGGAGAAGTTCAGGGGAGGAGCTGCTCGAGTGGAAATTATTTCTCACCAATGAAATACAAAGGGAATGAGGTTGGTTCGCTACAATGGGCGTGCCAGGGCGGGTCCTAGCCGTGAAGATTAGAACTGGCGGAACCAAGGAATGTAGTTTGTCCAAGGAAGTAGCGCTAGGGCAGCAAGAGGCTTGCTACCTCCCTTCTGTTAGAGAAAAGTTGGTGGGTGGAAAATAATTTGTTACCCACAAGACGCTTTGGGACTCTATTGAGACTGGAAAGTGAGAGGTGGGTAACTCCTTCCCAAATATGGCAACTGTACTCCATTTTAAGCTTAATATGTCTCTTGTAAAGTAAAAGGATATCAAGAGGAGTCAGGTAACCGACCATTTTCTTAGTTTTCCAGAATCTTTAGCGATGGATCGCATGTACGAGTTAGAATGCAGATCCTACTATCTAGACAGTCGACTATGTGCCACGCGTGATACACGCTTACCCGATCATGTATCTTTCGATATATGACTGACGAGGCAGATTTTTTTTCTCGCAGTAGGTTTCCATTTCTTTCTGCAGTAGACCAGTTATCATCCAAAGCTATAGAACCCGGTCAGTCCTGCTATTTACCCATAGCTGGGTAAACAGCAGGACAGAAGAATGGTATTAGCACGTAAGTGAATGCAATGGATTCGACTCGAATTCGAACTCGGTTCTCCGATTCCTCAATCCGAGCCGCTATCCATTACTCCACCGTAATACAATCTAGTACTGCTTAAATTATTGGAGTTTAGGTACCATAGAAGAAAGTTCATCAGAACAATTTCAATGAAAGCTTATTCATTGTCCTTACGTTATAGATCAGTCAATCAATTAAGTGCCACACGGGATACACGTTTGGGCGATCTGGTATCTTTCGGTATATGACTGACGAGGCATATTTTTTCCTGCAGTAGGTTGCCATTTCTTTCTGTCGCTAGGCTGGTTAACGACCAAGGCTAAAGAATTCAGTCTGTCCTGCTATTCAACTCATAACTGGAGGGAACCTTTCCCAAGGGTATTTGGTGCTTAAGTGAATCTAACGAATTCGACTGGAATTCGAACTCAGCTCTCCAAGTTCTCCGTCCGAGCTGATATCCGTTCCACCACAATGTTTCCAATAACAATAGAGTTAGAAGTAAAAATAAATCAGAATTGTAGTGAGTATTCTTTAAACGGCTAAGAACCACCCACCCACATTCCCTTCGTATCCCATCGCCGAGAAATAAGTTCTACTGAAACAGCTTCTTCCTGAAAACCAATGCCCTGTGGAACAAACTCACAAGACAATGTTTCCCCCGATTACTAAACTCTTAACCTGTTCAAGTCAACCGATATCTTTCCCTCCTTTCCAGATAAATTAACCCTTATTTTAACTCTCTATCACGAGTGGCCCCCTGGGTTATGTACGAGATGAACCTTACTGAAACGTCATATCTACTTACATGAAGTGGAAATATTATATGGAGTCCATTGTTAGGTCAGCTGTTAGGAAAGTTGATTCCCTGTGTCGTTCTAGACAATCTTTCTCGCCTTAATCTATCATTACAAATCTACCATTCGTCTATGCTGTCATATATGGTCTGGTGTTTCTGCTATAGATTTAGAGATCGTTGATAAAGTCCAAAGAAGAATCTGCAATGCATCTCGGCTTCAGTTACTTTCCCAACGGTCTAATATAGCTTCCTGTGCCTTTTTTTTAAAATAAATCCTTTCATGGTAATTGTTTTGATGAACTTTCCTCTATGTTGTTATTTTATTCCCCCCATCACAGACAAATTGTACATATAAGAACTAGCTAGGACTACATAGAGACTTTGAGGTATTATGGTATCTGTAATAAGAATGATAAGAATATGTCGTTTTGGTGTAAGGAATACTGTGGTATGTTTGGTTCAGTAATCGTGGTTAGCTAAGTTTAAGATAAGACAGACTGAAAACCAGCTTTCCCTTTCTCCTCCTTTTGCACTGGTGTCACATTTTTGTATTATATCAAAATATATATTACTTTCCTCTACTTTGTGAATTTGAGCGCAGTACTAGATTGGCAGCTAGGTCTCATCATTTTATAGTTGAAATGGCTAGATGTAACCGTAAGTTCTATGCTAACAGTTTCTTAATCTGATAAGTATGTTCATGGTAATTATTCTGATGAGCTATCCACTTTGGTGCCTAGATTTTATGAATTTGAGCGCAGTACTAGTTTGGCAGCTAGGTCTCATCATTTTACAGTCGAAATGGCTACAGATGTAACCGTAAGTTTTATGCTTATAGTTTCCTTTCTCGTATTTCCTGCCTGTGAAATTATTTTCGGTTTCTTACTTCCCAGTCAACTTCAAAAATTTAAATGCAATGTCAGTCGCTATTTTCTGCCTTCTTAATGTTACCTTTTTTTTCTCACCTCTTCATAATGTTTTTTTTCTGATATTCTTTCACACACAGTAACTCCTCTGCGTGTTAGTGGCTTTATTGCCTTGTTTGGAGGTGAAATGATTAAAAAAAATATCACAGCTAAATGAATGCGTTTTCATAGAATGTTTCCCGCCTGCCGTCCATAGGTATGAACAAGTTATGTTTCCGTTTTTAGAGACTGTTAATATTTTGCTTCTGGTGATCAAGCAAGTGCCAGTGTTCTTGCATAATTTTCCGAGCTTAATAACGAAATAAATAAACTGTGCTTTAAAATCTCGCCTGTTCAATTTCGATGCGAAACGCGGTTTAAAAAAAGCGTGTAGTCAATGAAATATCGCGACAGCTGAACTGATCGTAGAAGTGGTAGTGACGGCCGCGTTGATCCTGCACTACGGTGATCAGCGTTTCCATTGCACGCATGCGTAATACATCATCAATCGACTTCTTCGTGCGAGAAGTGGAGTGGGGGGTGAAAGGAGGGAAGGAGGAAGGGGAGTTAAAGAGAATGTAAGCAGAGAAAGAAAGAATTATACATTACAAGGACCATACTTGCGTGTTGAAAAGGAGAAAAAAAATGAACAAGGGAAAGGGGAGGGGAGTTTCCGAGAATATTGCGGTGAGTAACCTAGAAAATGACATATTTCGACCAATAAGGAACTGCCACGTCATCGATTGCTCGAATTTCAAATCGGGTTGCAAGAAAATCTGAACCGGAATTTGTGTTTCAATGTCATCTGTTCTCGTACGAGAAAATGTTGTTATTCACAACGAAGGCTTGGAAAAGAGAGAAGTGCGGTGGGAGAAGGAGCTAAAAGGGTAATGAGAAGAAAAGGGAGACGAGAAGAAAAGAATGGAAAGGAAGATAACAAAAAGGGAAACATGGAAAGAAGGAAAAACTGGAAAGAAAGAGGGAAGGAGGGAGTGATGGAAAAAAAAGAAGAGATCAAAATATTGAAAAGAGAAAAGAGAGAGGAGGAAGAGAAAAAAAGATGTGGAAACAGACCGGAAAAGAAGAAGCATTGGCAGCAGAAATAGAGAGAGTAAGTGAGTGAGAGAGGGGGGGGAGGCAGAGAGAAAGAAGAAGAAGAAGAAGAAGAAGAAGAAGAAGAAGAAGAAGAAGAAAACCATTGAAAAAAAATGAAATTTCAAGTGAAACTGAAAAATAAAAGAAAATGGAAGATGGCGAAAAAAGAATAAAGAAAGAAAAGGAAAAACGAAGAAGGAACGAAAGAGAAGGCAAAGAAGAGAAGGAAGAAAAGTATGAAAGATTAGAGGAAGAAAGAAATAGAATGAAAAGTAAACAAGGGAAGAGGAAAGGCAGTAAGAGGAAAGAAAATGGGGTTGAAAAAGTAAATGAATAAAAACGGGAATGAAAAAGTAAATATCATGATGAAGAATGAGAGAGGGGACAGACAGACAGACAGAGAAATGAGGAAACGACAGAAGACAGAACGTAAGGGAAAATTACAATGAATGAATTAAAGGAAAAAAAAGGAACGAACGAAAGTGATTAATAAGCAAGAAAGAAGAAAAACCTAGAGAGTAGGAAAGTAATGAGTAGGTAAACGGAGAGGGGGGTAGAAAACAGAAAGAAAGAAAGAAAGAAAGAAAGAAAGAAAGAAAGAAAGAAAGAAAAAGTAAGTAAAAAGAAAGAAAGAAAGGAAAAAAGAAAGAAAAAGAAAGCATAAAACATCTCGAAAAATAGGAAGAATGGATTAAGAAAAGGAAGAACACATTAACAGAAAAGAAAGAAAGAAAGAAAGAAAGAAAGAAAGAAAGAAAGAAAGAAAGAAAGAAAGAAAAGGAAGCTAAAAATAAGAAGGGACGTAAGAAAGACGAAAAATAAAAGCGGATAGGTAAACAAAATTGAAAGAAAGAAAGGAAAAATAAAAATAAATACAGACATAATAAAAGCAAGAAAGAAAGGAGGGAAGAAAGAAAGAAAAAGGAAGAAAAAATAGGAAGAAGAAATAAAACAAGCAAGACTTAAAAACAAAGAAAGAAAGATATTACAAATGGTGGTAGCTAAAATCATAATGAATAATGGAGGTAGAGCACTTTAGCAGTGGCTACGATCTCAATAAAACATAGGAGAGGTTGAGGTAGTAAATTGAATTCGAAAGGGTGGAGGAAAGTAAAATTACGTAAACAATAACAACAACAACAACAACAATAAAAAAAAAAGGGTGATATGAAAATGACACAAGTCGTGGGCGGAAGAAAAAAAAAGAAGCCAAAAAAGCCGGTAGATTGATAACCCTAGAAAAATGCCTTTGTTAATTACAGCCTGCGTTAAGACGAACGGATTATGGCGGTCTATGGAGGAAGAAGAAGAATGTCGTCCGAGTGTCAATACACTCTGGCAGGATGGGTGGATCGTGCGTCCTGTCATATGGGACAGTGGTCGTCCGCGTTCTCCTTTTTCAGTTTTTTTTTCCCTTTCACGCCAAAAGGCACCTGGAAAAACACAAACTTTCACATCCATACGTTTATTACTTCAAACTTTATCAAAATGGTTACTCCATATTTGAATCAGACGCTCCATTTTAATTTTAATTTGCGTCTATCGGCCTGCACATTGGATAAATCTTAGTAAAGAAAAAATGCCTTCCCCCGGTAGTGATCGAACCTGCGTCTTCTTTTGGAAGGGAAAACCACCGTTTGATTCAGTGCGCTTTACCGTTCGGTCACGGAGAGCAACGCAGCAGATTAACTGTTATCGGCGCGGAAAATGAAATCGGTAAGACAGGTTCAAATTACTACCTCCATCGTTGCGTTTTATTTCGTACAATAGCTTGAATCCATCTCTTATCGCCACCTTCCAGCTATGGGTTAAATAGTAAAATAGCCTTGGCCTCTCTAGCCTTGGATGAAAGAGAACGGATAGAAGGACAATTCTGATTTAAAACAGTGGAGAAGACAATGCGAACCACACCAAAATCTTTCACAAGGCGTCATGTCAATTTGCAAATAGTAATAAAAAAAAGAAAATCAGTGAGATGACATTTAAAACGCGTTAGGCTACAAACGAATTGGTTAATCTGAGAACATATATTTACAGGAGATTGCCACATGTTATCACGTGAGGCTTACAGACCACATGATAGTAAGTATAATCATCGTCGGGATCCTCACTATTGTAGTCACGTACGGGACTATGCTAATCATCACATATATCAACAATATGCAATGAGTCATTATCATATATTTAAGTCTGGTCTACAGTAAAGTAAAAATGGTAGACATTAATCTAGAATATACTTGAAACAAAAAATAAAAAACATCAGTCCAGTTAAGGCTTGAGTAACAAGAGTAGACATAAATTTGGTTTACCCTTGATCCAAAAGGTAGACAGAGATCCTGTTTACAATCGAGTCAGGAAGGTAGACATAGATCCTGTTTATACTTGAGTCAAAAAGGCAGACATAGATACTGTTTATAATCAGGTCAGAAAGGTAGACAGAGATCCTGTTTACACTTGGGTAAAATAGGTAGACAGAGGTCCTGTTTACACTCGTGTCAAAAGGTAGACACAGGTCCGGTTTACATTAGAGTCATAAAGTTAATTGAGACTTGCGCCAAAAGGAAGACATATGTCCAGATTACACTTGAGTCAAAAAGGGAGACATGTATTCGATTAACCCTTGAGTTAAAAAGATAACATACATCCGGTGTACACTTAAGTCAAAAAGATAAACACACATCCGGTTTACACTTGAGTGAAAAAGTTTGGCATAGATCCGGTTACACTCGGGTCAGAAAGATAGACATAGTTCCGATTAACAGGTCTAATCAGGCTTGGGTCACCCACCCGTAGTCTGGGTTCCGTAGTAGTACGCATCAGCCATAGAGCAAAAAAAAAAAAAAAAAAAATAGCGGATATGAAAATATATCAATAATATAATCTTCTATAATTACTTTTTTATTCTAATTTTGCATATTTCTCGTTGCTTAGCATGTACGAGGTTTGACCAAAATTATCAGGATTGATACTATAAAAAGAAAACTACAATACACATTTATTCGGCACTTAATCTCCTTCGAAGTAATCCTTTTCTTATCCACCATCATTTCCATTGGCGGAACCATTTCTGAAACTCCTTTTTTTGTGGGGGGATAGGGAGGATTTTGCCCCGTCGGATTCTCTTGAATTTCGTCAACGTCTTGAAATCTTATTCCTTTCAAATGGGATCTAATTTTGGGGAAGGGGAAAAAAGGGACGAAAGCTAAGGAATATGGTGGTCGTCGGATGTTGGGAAAGTTGTGTTTGGTTTAAGACTACTGCACAATCCATGGTCACCGATGAGACTTCTTTGATATGTTGAGACGACCACACTCTACACACTTTCCTTTCAACCACTGCTAAAAACAACAAAAGTGAGCAACAACTGCTATAACATAATGTGTACATACGATAAAGTTCAAGGTCAATTAGTGCCAAGTGGCTTCATTCTACGTACTTTAGCATCGTTACTATAGCAACAGTCCCTATACTTTTTTTATCAGACCGCGTACGTTATTAATTGCCAATATCTCATAAATAATAGACTATTCAATTTTTGATCGGGTAGAAAGACAGAATCGATACATAAATGCTGTTTGATTTCAGTGAAAAAAGAAGAAAGAAGAAAAAAATACTGTTTTTAAAAAACAAATTTGACTTTACTACCCAGACGTTTCCTCTATAGATAAATGGTTTTGCACGTCATTAACCAAATGACCATTCCGAGTACGATACAGTTTCGATTCCTGTCGGAGGACACGTATTTTCTATGAAATTTCTCAGACATTCAGGCCCTGTAAATGTTGTTAATACTGTTTATTATAAACAGAATATTTACTTAAATATTTATATCTATAAAAAAGAACGCATAAACAGAAAATATATTAAAATTATTATTATTATATATATATATATATATATATATATATATATATATATATATATATATATATATCAATAAAATGGACAATATGAATGAAGACAAAAGGAAAAATGATCTTAGCTGAAGCGTTTCGCCCTCTGGTGGACATTTGCCTTGGCTAAGAGAAGTCTTCCTTTTGTGTGTATATATATATATATATATATATATATATATATATATATATATATATATATATATATTACAAGGTAAAAAAAACAGTCCGATGAAGTTCTAACGGATGAAAAGCTTCACAAAAACATTTTCCAATTTGTCAGATATCTTACCTTTCAAAACTGTTCTTAATCTATAATTGTTTATATAAAATTTATATATCGTTATCCTATATATATATATATATATAATTATTATCATTATTATATATCATTATATATATATGATTAATGTGAATAAGATTGTTACTTAGCTGGTTGATGTTACTTTATAGATAGATAGATAGATAGATAGATAGATAGATAGTAGAATGCCCGGTGAGGATCAAATTCTGTTTGGTGGTCTATTGCGTATGAGGTGGCCAGCTTCATAACCATTAATTCACTTCGAGGCTAAATTTTTACGTCGAAGAAAAATATGATATTTGCCAACTTGGTTCCAGCAAACTGGCGCAAATGTAATTTTGCTATCAAATTATGATCGCCTGCAGACAACTTTTTCATTCCTACCCTGTTGTTAGCAATCATCTTCATCTGGCCGCTACGGCCGCGATGAGCGTTTGCCATTTTCAATGTTTGCATTTGTTTGCTTCTGGATTATTTTTTTTTTTTTTTCTTCTTCTGAGCTACATGCCAACTCTTTTCCAGAAGACAATTGTCATTTTTTTTCTTTTCGCTGCAATGTAAATTTTCCCTTTTTGCATTGATGATTTTTCTATATTTGTTCAGTGTCTTGAGTAGATCTTCAGTCAATTTATTTTTTACACCCACTCATCCTCAAGTCCCGTAACCTCTTTGTGTCTACAGGACTTGAGTGTGAGAGAGACTTTTTTTTTTACTATATATGATGATCGACTCCTAACACACACACACACACACACACACACACACACACACACACACAAACGCGCATTCACCAAACACAAAAACACATACACATAAACATTCGCACACGAACACACACATACACACACAAACACTCAAACACAAACACACATACATAAACACTGATTCACGCACACGCATAAACACACGCAAACGCACACACATAAGCACTCACACATAAACACACACCTAACACACGCACATATAAACTCTCATAAAAAAGACACAAATAAACACACACACACGCACTTAAACATTCACACGCACACACAAACATACATAAACACTCGTACAGACACAAACAGAAACACACACACACATAAACACCCATACAGATAGAAACACACACATAAACAATCACACAATCACACACACATATACCCATACATATACTCAGAGACACCACATTAGTCGCGATCACAGAGTGATTGTAACGTCCACGATCCTTTCATTAGCTTCATAGTATGTACTTCGAGAAGGCTACATACGGTTTTTCAATTCATTCCTTCATCTAGACTGCTTCGCAACCAAGGCCATAGGACCCAGTCTTGGCCTGCTATTTTACCCTCTAGTTTAATTAATTATAGATTCAATTTGATTTTTTTAGATAGTGTACACTTTCTTATTTGGCGTAACTTAAAGGAGTTTTAACTTTAATTCCACCAGTTCGGACGTTTCCATCTCGGTCACGAGACTTCCACCAATTCAGACGTTTCCAGCTAGGCCACGAGACTTCCACCAATTCATTTCAGCATCCCTTCATATTACAATATATATATATATATATATATATTATTTATTTTTATAGGTGACCGTGACTCAAGGCATCCATGACTAAAGAACCATAGCTCTATGGGTAAGTTTTGTTTAGTGGCATATCAACACCTCTATGGGTTATTTTATGCCAAAATATTAACAGTTTGTACGTAATTTTATTTTATTTTTGAAACAATAATTGTTTAGCGATACAAGTCTTACTAATTAACCCATATCTGGGGAAGAAAAGGTGGATTCATTTTCACACGTGTATTTACGCGTAAGTGAATATAACGAATCCAACTGAAATTCGAACTCTGCTCTCCGATTAACAATTTGTAGCCATTATCCATTACACCAGACGCACATCCAACCTTACTGCATGTACTATTCCCAAGCGATAACCCATTTAGGTATTGACCAAGCTCGACGTTGCTTAATTTCGGTGATCCTCCGAACTTCGATGTTTTAACGTGATATGACCATACTAGTTTGATGCAATGAAGCAAAAGTCTTGAAACAATGTATTGAGAGTCAATAAAGTAGAGATAAAGAATTCAAAACAAAAATGGAGGCCAATGAAGCATTTAATTAATCCATTCCCGTTATATTTTTTAAACGGTCAATGCTTTCGATAACTCATTGATTATTCCTGGAATTATATAAAGTCGCTTTTTGCTCAATATGTTTTCATGTTAAAATGTTATGTTTAATATGACTGGGAAATGGAAATATCTCTCGGAAGAAAAAGATTCGCAACAGAATAACAAAGACGGCGACGGCAGAGCTTATTTTCAAAAACAAAACGATCACTTAACAGACAAAGGTATCTGAATGCCTCACATGAAAGGCTTGAACAAATAAAACTACAATCTAAGAAACATAGGAGTAAAGGAACTGATTAATTAAATGGTTTGTTTTGCTTGGGAAATAATTTTGTCTAAAAGCAGATAAATATTTTATTTGTACAAATTATTAAAATAACTAAGGAAAGTAATCAGTCAAAAATTTACTAACGCAAGTTGATTTACCTCCCTTCTCACTACAAATGAGACAGGAAATATATAAATAAATACACATTGATAATTATTATATGATTTTATGATTATTCTATTTTATTATTAATTATCATCTTACTATGACTGATACATAAAATAAACAATATCATAGAAATGTATACAATATACAAAGTATATACAGGATTCGGTGTCATGTACACACAAACCTCTCTGCTTACCTGGCGGTAGCGGGGGACTTCTGATATCGATCTATTTGAAAGGAGCGTGAGACAAAGATTTATTCAACCTCTACAACGACGCTATCCCAAGGGAATTGGATATCCTACCAGGATTTATTATAGGTAGGAGTAATCTCAGCAATATAAGATATATAGATGCTGGCCGTGTTGATAGCCGGCTCGGAAAGAAAACTACAGGATCTCCTGGACAGAGTGGTAAAAGGAAGTGAGAAAAAGGGGACAACCATCAACTGCAGAAAGGCAGAAACTATGGCCATCAGCAAGAGAAAAAGCCCAACATGTGAATTACGAATTGGAGATACAAATATCAAGCAGGTGCAGAAGTTTAAATAACTGAGAAGCGTTTTAACAAAGGATGGAAAATGTGACACCGAGATCCGAAGTACGCTTTGGTCTAGCGAAAGAAACATTCCAAGAGTTAAGCAAGTTACCGAAAAACGGAAAAAAATCGTTGGAAATGAAGAAAAGTGTTGAACTGTTATGTAATATTCAACCTCTAATATGGCAGTGAATGCTGAATAATCTCCGGCGGATGAGGAGAAAACTGGAGATATCAGAAACGTGGTTCTACAGAAGGATGCTGAGAATTCAATGGACGGAGCGAATAGGAAGCAAGAAAATGTATTACTGGCAATAATCTATTGCTGGTAATAATTATTTACAAAAATGTATTGCTGGTAATATTTTTTCCTGCAAAAATATTTGGTTTCGTTTGGTTTGTTTTTACGGCATATCAACCTCAATGGGTTATTTAATGTCGACAAGATTTTTATTGCTAGTAATATTTTTTCAAAAATGTGCTGCTGCTAATATTTTTTTCTCGAAAAATGTATTGCTGGAAATATTTTTTTTCAAAAATGTGTTGCTGGTAATTTTTTACCTTCAAAAATTAATTGCTGGTAAGATATTTGCAAAAATATATCGCTGGTATTAAAACCTATTTTTACACATTTTGACCCCAGTTTGGTGGGGTTAACTATTTGCCCATAGCTGTGGCCCTAACAAGTGCTACCACCCGGGGTTAAGGTGGACCTGGGAACATCAGCAATTAAGAGCTGGTTCCACACTCCTCAAAACCTCCTGATCAGAGGCGTATGTAGCTTAGCATCATACCCAGGATGCTATACATGTTTGTGTCGACATAATTATTAGATTGTGTTTTATGTTGTAGTTTTCTTGAAGTTATATTTTGGAATAAAGTTTGATTTAAGAAACTTTAGGATATTATATGGATTAATGCCATGAAAGGGCTTTTTTCATGTTGATTGTTTGGTAGTGTCACCCGGATATAAGAGAAACCCGGATATTAGAGAGATTTTCTCTGGTCCCAAATTAGAGCCATACTTAACTAAACAAAATAGACCAAACCCGGATATAAGAGAAACCCGGATATAAGAGACTTCTTCTCCGGTCCCGACAACTCTCTTATATCCGGGTTACACTGTAGTACTTTCAACGAATTTTGGTAAAGTTTCTACAATTTCTAGTAAGTGCGTATTGTGGGTAATTTTACTATAAATATGTGTTGTTGGTAATTTTTATATAAAAATTTATTGCTGATATTTTTACTATAAAAATGTATTTGTTTTTGTTTGGAGGTTTACTATTTTCTCATAGCTGGGACCCTAACAGGTGCTACCACCCGGGTCAAAGAGGACCTGGGAATAACATCTATTAAGAGGTGCTCCCACACTCCTCAAAACATCCAACCTTCCGGTCAGAGATCTTGCTGCCAGATGTAGTTTATCGTCATCTATTTATTGTTTGGCGTCGATCGCCGACTCAGAAAGAAAATTACAGGATCTCCGGAAAAGGGTAGCAGAATAAAGTGAAGAACAAAGAACAAACCATCAACTGCAGGAAGACAGAAATGATGGCCAGCAGCAAGAGAAAAAGCCGAAAATGCGATTTACGATTTGGAGATACAAACAGCAATCAAGTGAGATGCGTGTTATTATATTTAGTTCATAAACTCTTTAATAGCATTGGTTTTTGAATTTGTATTATATTGAAAAAACAAAACAAAACCTTAGAGCCTAAATAATGGCTGTGAATTTGAACAATGATGTTTTAGGGCTACCATTTTGTTTTTGATATCCTTTTGTTACTTCCTGTTATTAGTAATTAGGTTAACAGGTTTTCAAATATTAGTGAGATGGTTATTAAATATCTTCCCCAGACCAGTTCTCCATTTTAGTGAATTCTTTTTGCGATAATGTTGATCCAAAATAACGCACCTCCAGACCACAAATTGCGTGGAAGACTTGTGTCAAAGAATCAAATCGAACGTTAAAGAAATTCACAGACCAACAAATCGTCGTATGATACATGATCCTACATCTTCTACGTGCCGTGTCCCTTCAGGACGTTGGTAATAACCGCTCTCCACAATTTCCTATCCTTTGTAGCATTTAATAACTTTTGTCTTCTTGCCATCTCTCCTAAACCCGGCTCTACCATTCATTCACTCAACCTCGCCACATAAGTTACGCATTGAATTCAGGTTTCTCATACCTTCAATCTGTCCTTTGAGTATCTATCTATCTATCTATCTATCTATCTATCTATCTATCTATCTATCTATCTATCACTGTTTAGATCTATCTATCTCAGTCTCTCTATATGTCTTTGTTTATATCTATCTGAGTTTGTTCATATCTATCTATCTATCTATCTATCTATCTATCTATCTATATGTGTGTGTGTGTTTAGATTTATCACAGTTTAGATATATCTCAGTCTCTTTCGTATCTCTCTATATGTCTCTGTTTATATCTACCTATCTATCTGAGTTTGTTCATATCTATCTATCTATCTATCTATCTATCTATATATGTGTGTGTGTGTGTGTGCGTGTGTGTGTGTGTGTGTGTGTTTAGATCTATCTATCTATCTATCTATCTATCTATCTATCTATCTATCTATCTATCTATCTATTTTCCCAAGCTCTTTGTTTCTAGATGTGAAGTTATTGGGACAGCAGTTTTTAATTTCCTGGCTGCCTCCTTTACGAAACCTTCGCTGACTATCGCGCGCGCGCGAACACACGGACACGCACACCCACATGAAGAGCATCGGAAGGGCTCCCTGTCATCTGCCAATGCCCGCATTCAGACATAATGCACGCTGGCGAACGGGCAGCTCGCTCAAAACGGCATACTTGCAAAAAAATAAAATTTCA